CCCGACGCGGACGGTGCCCGGTTCCCCCGGGCAGAGCACCAGGCGGGTGGGTCGCTGGCCCTGCTGGCACCAGCGACTCCAAAGAGCTTCCTCCAGGCGCCCTTCGGCGCTGGCAAGGAGCCTTTGAGGCCCTGGAACCTACTGCCCGGAGCAGACAGATGCGCAGATTTACCTAAATGAGTGATTAGTTCAGCAGTTATTTTAAACCAGCTGTAATTAATGTGAAATGAACGCAATGAATGAAGGAACGTGCGCTTGGCTTCCTAGCAGAGCTGGAGGAGCATGTGGAGAGCTGGCAGACCTGCAGGCACCAGAGAGCTGGGAGGGGATGGCTGGGAGCTCTGCAAGCCTTGTGAGGACCCCCCCCCACCTCTCCCCCTCACCATTTCTGAACATCATCCACTGTTCTCCTCACAGGTTCCTCAGGACAGATCCCCCAGGTTCTGAGAGCAGCCCCTGAGCAGCCCTGAGCCATCGCTGGGTGCGGTGTGTGGGGTGTGACCAGGGCATCACAGAGCACCACGGGGCCAGGGACCTCCCCTCCGAGTGCCCTACGATGCTGTTTCCATCCCTGCTGCTCCAGTCCATCCTCTGGGCCACCAGCTGATGCGATGGCACAGGCTGCCAAGCTCCAGCCAAGCTTTGAGGACGTTTTTAGTATCCTGGCCCAGATCCCACAAGACAAACTCCTTAGCCTCAAATATAAACTGAAGCATTTGACATTTGGGCCCAGCAGCAAATTGCTGCAAGCCATGGTCCTGCTCACACTGGGGCAAGAAGTGGATGCAAGGATTTGTTTGGATGCCTTGGGAGATAACCGGGCAGCCCAGTATGTCCACCAGGCCAAACTGGGTGCTGTGGGAGCACAGGACAGCAGGGAGGATCTGCAGCCTCCCCAGCTGGACGCAGGGGCCAAGGTGCTGCTGGCAGAGATCTACTCAGTGCTGGCAGAGGAAAAGCTGTGCAGCCATGAAGCCAAGGACAAAGCCTGCCAGGCTGCCAACAAAGGCTTCAGCACCAGCAAGGAGACCCGGGGGGACACCCTCAACTGCATCCCACCCGAGGAGCAGGAAAAACACAGCTCTGCTCTCAGCACGGGCCCGGCTGACAGATTTTTGACACTGAGATCTGATGTGGATGGAGGGTTCCTCGAGACAGCTAACCCAAACTCCGTGGTGAGAAGCTCTCCCGTGCAGATTGGAGGCAGCTCAGACCTTTCAGGCCCAGGGCCCCTGTGCTCTGTGGGGAGCACTTCTTTCTCCAGTCAGCTGGAGATCAGCGCGTCGCCCACGGTTGCTTTTCAGAGCCCTCCTGCTTCCCACCAGCGTGTCCACCAGCCATGCCCTGGGACCCCCAGCACTGCTGGACAGCCCAATGGGGAGGGATGGAGCCACAGCCCACAGGAGACAAGCTGGGCCAGCAGCTCCTATCCCGGGCAGGACGCAGGTGCCCAGGTCCCCCGACCAGAGGAGGTTCTGCAGGTCAGTTCATCTGACCCAACGCTCCCTACCCCTGCACAGCAGCTGCCCACAATGGGTGCTGTGAACCAGCCTGTCACAAGTAGTGATGTTTCCAGCACAGCAGCAGCAGAACCTCAAGTATCAACAGAAAATACACAGAAAAAGCCAAATGGAAAGCAATCATCTACAGATCTTCCTGACTCAAGAGCTACAGTGGATACTGGTCCTGCCCATGTGTCCATGGAAGACTCCTGTGTTCCAGCAGCCATTCCTTCTAATGCTGCATCTGCTTCCATTTTAAACCCGTCCCTTCCTCCTCCTCCTCCTCCCTACTCCTTCTCCTCAGCCCTTCCACCTCCTCTTCGGGGAGCTCCTTCCCAGACACCATATCCCCCTCCCTTCCCCTCATCCCCCACTCCAGGCTGTCCGCCTCCCCTCAGAACTGTAGAACCAGTGCCCACATCACAGCCAGACAGTGCAGAGAGAAAGTTCTTCACTTTTGTTGTCCTGCATGCTAGCAAAGATGAGATTGTTGCCCATCGGGTCAAGAACCTGCTGGAGAACTTGGGGGTTCCCAATGGTGCTACACTCTGTGAGGACTTCTCCATCGCTGGACACAGCCATCTGACTTGCTTCCAGGATGCTATGGAGAACTCTGCCTTCATCATCCTTCTGCTGACCAAGAACTTCCTATGCAACCTGTGTATGTTTCAGACAGACACTGCCCTGATGGAGTCCATCCTAAATCCATCCAAGCACCACTCAGTCATCCCTTTTGTACCCAAGGAGAACCCCCTGGAGCGGAGTCAGATCCCCAGCACGCTCGGCGGGCTGATACCCTTGGATGAGAATTCTCCACTGTTCCCCAGGACAGTGCAGAACACCTTTAGTGCCAGCAGGATCAATGCAAAGAAGGTCCTGTGGGACCAGGCACAGAGAAGGAAACTACAACGGCATCAGGAACAGAATCAGACACTGGAAGACTTGGCTGCTCTGAACCTTGGCTCCCATCCCCAGGCAACACGCCCACAGCCGCCGGAGCCATCACCCCACCAGTGGTACCCACCCCCTTCAACTGCCCCTCCTGGCACGTACCCACCTCCCCTCCCTGCTCACCCCATCCCTGCTCAGATGGGGCCTCCTCCTTTCCAACCCCTTCAGCTCCCACCGGGTCAGCACCACATGATGCCAGGAGCAGGAGGCATCATCATCCAACACGCTCGAATGGTGCAGATTGGGAACCACAACACCATGCAGGTAGAAATGGGCACCCCAGGCCCACAGGACAGCAGGGAAGAAACCAGGTCCAGAAGCCAGAGGCACGGCAGGGCAGCCAAGGCCAGAGACAATCACAATTTCAAACCCTAAGTCACAGTGGTTCTGCTGGGACTGTTCTTATTTCACTGTGGGGAAAAGGTGCCACTCTCCTGGAGCACAGGAAAAAATGATCCTTTTTTTTGTTGGATGAAAGGTTGCAATCACCCAGGACTCTTGTGCTTATTTTCAAGTAACTGAGAAAACTTTTACTGATTTTCTGAGACTACTGGAAGATTTTATAAATATATTTTAATTCATTTATTTGTGTTTCTCTGGTTCTTCCCTGTAGAATTAGCAAGGGGCACTCATGGATATGTGGGAAACTGTTCTGCATGTGTGTAGCTCTGGGGTGGAGTGGGTCAGGAGCTGGCACACCAGGATTGTGCTTCATGATTTGGTCAAGACCAGATTATATGAGGGACAATCTTCCAGGGGACACTCTGGGGAGGCACTGTGGACCCCATCAAGGTGCTGAGCACCATGAGCTCCCACTGTTTTCTTCCATCAGTCCCCTTCGCTTGGGGTTGCAGCACATCCCCTCGGCCCCTCACGCCAACTTTGTGTGCGTGGTGCCCTCCCCTTGCTGCAGAGCACCAGCAGCACCAGTTCCCCCAGGCCCCTTGGGTCAGACCCAGGATGGTTGGGGAAACCACCTTTGCAGAAGCTGCAGGGCTCGGGGTGAAGGCATCAAGAGATCACTTCTCCCAGTCCCCCTCTGAAACTAGAGAGAGAAGCTTTTTGTTTGTGAAAGGCAAAATTCCCATGTGTGGGAGGTGTGACTTCAAGTATTTTTCTACTGAGGAAAACTCCATTAGAGACCTGTGATTACCCACCAGGTACAAGGCTGAACAAGAATCTTTGCAGAAAAGCTGGGTTTGGGGGGAAAAAAAATAACTTAAATGAAGGTGGGATGAGAGGGGGGGAAATGGGGAGAAAGAGGAGGCAGAAGCTGTGCATCCACCCCTCCATTCTTAGCAGCTTGTTAAAGGTGAGGGGTGGGACTAGAGCCTTGTCCTCCACCTATTTATGACATTGCCTTTGAGGGAAAAGTTCAACAAAAACGAAAGCATTGAGCAGAGCATTACAGAAAGGGTGGAGAAAGGCCAGGAATGGGGGAGGTATTCTGCAGGAGCTGGGCACAGGTCACACCAGGCAGGCATCTAATGAGCTTTTAAGCCAGGGAGGGTGTCTGAAGCAAAGTGCCAGATCCTGTGCTCTCCTCCACACCTCCTGCTGCAGCCGTTTGCCTGCTCTGTCAGCAGAGGTCAGCCCACAGCCACCAGACAGGAGAGATGCAACTGCTCCCTCTGCAGAGCAGAGCCCAGCCCCGAGCACAGAGCCCTCAGAAGGTGCCCAAGAGCTGCCAGGGACCCGTCAGGGTGGACCTCGAGGATCAGGGAGATTGACACAGGAGAGGTGACCCTGTTTCAGGTGTTTCTGCAGATGTGTGTGAGGAGCTTGTGTCACTCTGAGGAGCTGTCCCAGCGGGTTTTGAGTTGAGAGGAGCCAGCATGGTCTGGCAGCTGAAGTGCAGGACTGCCACAGGCCATCCTGCACCTGGGACAAGCCAAGCTGGGCACTCAGAGGGCCTAATTCTGGATCATGGTCTTTGTCCAAGCCTTACAACTACCACCTGCCTAGGAAAGACAGTAAGAAGTCCTTGGAGAAAAGCTTGTTCCCCTGGCATTAACACCCTCCCGGGGAGCACTCTGGCCACTGGGCTAAGACTGCCCCATTCTCACTCTTCCTCAGGCTCATTCTGCAGCAAGCCCAGACAAGTACCAGCCTGCTAACTAAAGCTCACTGCTGAGACACAAATGCCCTGCATGGAGGGGAGAACAGTATGGGGATCTCCTCATCCTGGCTCCCTGGGGGACAGCAGGTAGCAGTTCAAGGGAGGACAGTCCCCTCCACCCCCTCCTTCTGTGGGATTTAAATCTCACAGAATTTCCTCTTCAGAGAGCACAGGTCCTTTCTCATGGATCTCTCCACAGGTCTGCCTGCCTCCCTCCTCCCCTCCTCAAGGATGCTTAGCTCCTCCTTGGCTAAGAGCTAGCACAAAACACCAGGGCTGGACAAACCAGAGTGCTCTCTGTCCCCAGCAGAAATACACCCACATAAAAGCACTGCTACTTAAAAGCTGCCGTCCCTTGTTGGCTTCCAGCTTTGAAACAGTTCAGCACTTAACTTTGAAGGACCCAGCAACAATGGATTAACTCATTATAGAGTCTGCTGGAATCCTCCAAGCACTTGGATTCTTTCTACTTCCCTGTTTTCTCTCCTCCACGTCACCTTTGTTCCAACAGGTGTTACCACAACTCTCGTCACAGCGCGGTCGCTGCTGTGCAGCCAAGGACAGTCCCTCCCTCTGGAGAAAACACACACATGGCTCCTTCCCCAGCTCTTCTGCTTTCTATAAATACACATCAGGCCAAACGAGTCAACTGGAAGCTGCTCCAGCTTGTAAACAACCTCAACAGTCACACCAAGCTTGCTTGGACCAGAGAAAGGGAGAGGGAAGGAGATGGCAGCAGACTATAGATCATAGCAGGGTTGGGGTTTTTTTTTTAGCTTACTGTGTGTGGAGGGCTGAGGCTCAAAGGTTATTGGCACTGAAAAGCCCTTGGCCTGTTTTAACAGCAGCAGCAGGTTCACTCTTCCCATTTTCAGGGCCCTCTTTGCTGTTGCTCACCCTGGGAAGGGAGCTCTGCCACCAGGGCCTTGTTTTCACCAGGAGAATGTGCCCAGGACCCCTTTGGTCTCCCCCAGTTTCTGTGGGAACCCGGGAAGTGTTGATGCAGCATCCTTATCTTCATGCTCCAGGCCGTTTGCTTTGTAAACACTGATCTTAGGGCATTAGGGGGGTTCAAAGACATCCCTAGAAGGGCTCCAGCTCTAGGAAACAGCAGGGAATTTCTCACCACTTTCGCATCTCTAAAGAAACCTGGATGGGAGGTTTTATTGTCAAGAGGGCAATTACCAGCATTAGGGAGAAAAAAAAGCACACTTTGGGTTTTAAGAAAGGACTGAAAGGCATTTTGTTCCCAGCAGTATATAGGACCTGGAGAGCAGTGTGCTCCAGGAGGGTCTGTAGCCACCCCAGTGAAAAAAACCCTCCACTCTGTCTGAGATAGTTACTCAGATAACTAAATTATCACCCAAATGTTTCACTGCTCCCCACAACTGTTTTGCCCCACAGACCACACCTACAGTAAATAAGGACTGTTCACAGTATTTACCCCTAAACTCATGCAGTGATTTCTCCCACCCAGTAATTACTATGAACATTTAATTGCTGGGTCCTTACTGTGTAATTACAGATTATTTATGTGTTACGAAAGGAAAAAAAATAAAGCCCTTTTCTATCAGTGTTGTCCTTGAGGCTTTTGGACGTGACTGGATCCCCCAGCCATGGGATGTGTGGCTCCAGAGCTGCTTCCCCAGCCAGCTCCTTCTCTTCCCTCTGCTCCCAACAGCTCTGGGATCAGTCTGGGACCATCAGCTGCCACCTCAGTCCTGAGGCGATCCAGTTCCTCGTACCTGTGGTGGCAGCTCCCCTCCTCCAGCCCCGAGGCTCACCCACAGCCCAGCAGTGTTCTGTGGGAGAGGCACACCCCACAGATCTGCAGACACTGCTTATATATCATGTCTGGCCTGAGAGCAGCACCATTGATCAAGCCAAGAATTACTTTTGAGGATGGAGCAATTGGTAAAGGGATAAACATCCAAATATTTTCTCCATCTGCTCCCATCCTGCCTGGGGAAGGGCCAAGCATTTTTAGAAATCCAAATTCTTGTGTGGAACTAACTCCAGTACCTTTAATTCCTAGAGTTAACACAAACTGAGGTAGCCACACTGCATCCCTCTCTCTGCTTCCTGCACCCACAGTCCCAGCTGCACACAGGGCTGGGTAAGACCCGAGCCAGCAGAGCAGCATCCTCTGGCACTGCTCCATTTCCACCTCATGATAAGGCCAAGTACATAAAGAGTGGTGTCACTGCAGCATGAGGAGATCTCAGGGGGATCTGTCTGCACTCGCAGCACAGCTCAGCTTCTCCCAGCAGGAACAATCCCATCTGTTGGTTGCAAACACTGCACCCACAAGTGTGGTGTCCTAGGAACCAAGCTGAACGTAGAGGCTTACCAGCAAGAAGTCCACAGCACTTGCATTCTAGCAGCCATTTTTTTTTGTTTTATTATTTAAAGTTAAGAGCGCTCATCAGCTCACAAATTAACAAATTCCATTCCTGCAGTTTAGTTCAGGTTTCAGCCAAAAGGGAAAACAAAAAGAGAATGAAATCAAATGTAGCTAAACTAACTGCATTTTACACCTTGATGAAAGTTAAACCTCCTTGCTTTATAAATAAATGTTATAGTTAACACTGCAAAAATGCCACGGCAGCTCTACGGCGTGTCTAAGGGCAGAGAGCGTTGGGTTACTGAGGCAGAGGGAGGTGCTGGCTTATAAATACCAGAAGCATCAGTAGCATAGAGGGCATGGCTGGTTCTCAGGGTCCTGCTCTCCCAGTCTCGACCTTCCCCAAAGCTCAGAGGCAGCTGCTTCCCCCCCCCAACTGCACTTTGTGCTCCTCCCAGGGCACAGAGCCCAGCCACAAGCTGCCAAAGCCCCAGGGCTGCCCTGCAAGGAGAGGCACTGCTGGAACAGCACTGTGTTTACCAACACTGGCTTCTACCACCACCCAGGGCTCTGCTCACGGAGGCAAATACCAACCCTGAGACCACAGATTTAACAAGGGAAATGAGCTGCGTGCAGATCCTCATCCAAGAGAGGAGCTTTGCCCAAGTAGTAGCCAAATGAGATTCCAAATTCGATCTCTGAAGTAGCACCATCCTCAGTAAAGTTGCAAAAAGAATCAAAAGCCAAAACCAGATGCCAACAACCCCCTCCATGTAGGTTTTCAGAACTGGGTAATGAATAAAGCCCGACCTGTTGATCCTAATAAACCTCAGAAGAACAAGAAAGCACCTTGAACTTCCATCCCTCCTTGCTCCTCCTTTCAGACCACCCTCATGCAAACATGCCAGCACTGCTCACCTGCTTTAACAACCCCCCGAGCACCACCCACACTACCAACACCTCCCCTCCTAGAGGGCTTGCAGGAGCTGCTAGAGGCATGCTGGTCTGGCTCTGCACCTGGGCCACATCCACCCTGCTCAGCTCCATCCCTGCTGCCTGAGGGAGGGACTGGATGTGTGCAGAGCAGGCAAGCTAAGGGCCCAACACTCTGTTGGTATTTCATTTTTAAGGTAATGTTTTTTCCTCCCCGTTCATAAAAACCAACATCTACTGATGAAACTAGATAACCAGAACTGACCTTACTACATCTTACAGGATTGAAGAAGTCTTGCAGCATAGATAGGGCCTGGCTCTAAAAGAGAAAAAATAACTCAGCTTTATGCACAATCATTTTCATCCCAGGCCTTTAACACCACTCACTACTTGGCCAACCAAAGGAGGAAAAAACTGTCCTCAGCATGCCCAGCCCTGCTGCCGTGCAGAGCACGAGCCATCCCGGATCAAATCTGAGAAAGGGGTGGGGAAAGAATTAGTTGGGAGATATTTTATTCCTCACTTGCATTCCTAGCTGCTGGGGATTTGGGATGGGAAGGGCTAGAGCACATGTATGACGTGTAGCTGCTTCCAAGCGTAACGCGGAGTTAATCCAGCACTAACGGGAGAGGCAGCAGGTCCCAGGGAATCTCCGTGTTCCTTCCTTCTCAGGACAAGACAGCTGGCGTGGGGAAGGGCAGGGGCTGTGGCCTCCTGTGGATACAGCTCTCCGGAGATATCTGGTACCTGAAGATGCCAACAAGGAGGGCCGGCCGTGAGCTCTCCAGCCTCCTCCTCCTCCTCCTCCCCTCGCCGTGCTCACGCCAGCGGGATGGTGATGGGAGAGGACGAAGCTCGCAGCCTGTCTCACACAGTGACAGCCTTCAGCACCATGGCAGGGACAGCCCGAGGTCTCAGGCTGTGCTACCTCTGCGGGGTGTAAGGGGCCAGGCCAGGGACTTGAGCTCTCCCCCCCCTAGTGCAGTTCAATGAAGGCTTCAAGCTCCTCGGGGATGAAACCCTTGTAGGGAATCTTGTGCTTGTCCAGGGCGCGAGCAGCAAGGCACTGGAGGGTGATGTAATTGAAGGGCTGCATCATGCTTTTGGTGAGCAGCTTCTCGTCCAGCAGCTCGTAAGCAGTCTGCTTGAAGGCATTGGTGGCATCCATGTGGGCTCCAGCCTCCATCAGGGCGCTCATGATGAGCGGGCAGTTGTTGCGGGCAGCCACGTGCAGCGGGGTGTTGTTGTCGTAGTCGCGGCTATCGGGGTCAGCCCCACACTCCAGGAGCAAGTTCACTACGTGGAGCGAGGGGAACTTGCCCACGGGATAACGTCCCACTGTCGTGGTGTCTTTGTCCACGGCCATATGCAAAGGAGTGAAGCCGTTCTTGGCCCGGGGGCTGCACTTCAGCAGGCGGTAGATAGTCTGGCGTTTCTGGTGTTCCTGCTCCGGGGTGCACTCCACCTTCTCCAGCAAGAAAACCAGGTGCAGGATGATAGCCAGCGTCTTGGTGAACTGTGCAGAGTCAACGACAGGGTCCTTGCCGTGCACCAGAGCCCTCTCCACCTCCCGGACCCCTTTGCTCAGCACTCCCATGAGGTCAGAGAAGCCCAAGTGAGTAGCTAAAGTGCCTTTGGAGCGGTCTTGAAGCACGTAAGAGAAAAGCTCAGCAAAGGAAAGGAAGCTGCTGGCGGTCATCGGGCTGAGAGGCTCCAGGTTGCCTTGCTGCATGTCCAGGGCATACTTCCACAGGTTGATGCAGCGCTCGAAGTTGCCGGAGTCGGCGTAGACAGCTCCTCTGTAACGGATGTAATAGGAGGTGTCTGGGTGGGAGGGGCCCAGGATGCGCTCTCGGATCAGCAGCGCCTGCATGCGCATCTCATCGGGGTCAGTGATCAAGGCTTCCAGCTCCTCCAGCGAGCTCACTTCCCGGGAATAGTCGTAGGCCAGGACCAGCTGCCGGGGCTCGGGTTTAGGCAGGTACCGCCCGCCGTCGCAGCGAAGCTCCATCGCCCTGCGCCAGTACTTGTGGGCTCCCAGAAGGTCACGCTTCTTATCCACAAACGTAGCGCCCAGCAACTCCAGCGCTTCCACGGCGGCCTCCCGAGTGCAGAACACGTTAGGGACCTGCTGCTCCTCCTGACTGGAAGCCGAGGCGCAACATTTCTCACGGCCCTCTTCACCGCAGCCCTGAGGAGCTTCCTTGCCAGCGCCGCGGCACCTCTGCCGGCTCCCACCCGAGGCACAGGTCCCGTTTTGGCTGCCCGCAACCTCCTCCTCGTCCTGCTGCAGCCCTCCTTGGATGAGGTACTCCACGATGTTGGTGTGGCCGGTGACGCTGGCAGCTAGCAGAGGAGTCATGCCGTAGCCATCCTTCTCCATGCGGGCTTTGGAGCGGAGCAGGAGCTGCAGGATCTCCAGGCTGCCCGACTCCGCGCAGTCGTGCAGAGCCGTATTCCCCTTCACGCTGCGGCGGTTGACATCAGCCCCCTTCTCCAGCAAGTAACGTGCAATTTCCCGGTGCCCTTTGTAGCAAGAAATCATCAAACAAGTGTGTCCATGCCGGTTGGCCACTTCCAGGTCAGCCCCACGCTCCCCGACCAAGTAGCGCACGATCTCCAGGTGCCCGTCGAAGCAAGCGGCCCGCAGGGGTGTGGAGTTGGTCAGCGTGGTCTGGTTCACCGAGGCGCCGTGATCCAGCAGGCTGCGCACCACCCCCAGGTGCCCGGCGGC